GCCCGGCAAACCGTAAAGCTGGTAGCGCTCGGGCAGCCCTTTTCGCGTGGCTGGGAGGGAGGAGGGGGAGTTAGGGCGGGGACTTTGGGGAAGGGGCGGTGAAAGGGCGGAGTTGGGGCGGGGCCGGGGTGGGAAAGGGGCGGGGCTAGGGCCCGTGGAGTGTCCTCTTTTTTATTTTTTAACTATGGTAACCCTAACAGAAGACATTATCTTGGAGACTTAACCTTGTTTCGTCTCGCCACTTTCTTCCCGGCAGTATAAGAAGGGCCTTGCAGGCAGTGGAGTAGACATCATGCAGCTCTTGTAGCATGCAGCATCAGCATCATGCAGCATCAGTTGTAGCATTTTTGGGCAAGAGGCACAGGTGCTCCTTCTCTTCCTTTATGCTGCTTTATATTTATTTTTCCTTCAGACTTTCAAGCGACTCATCAAGCCTTGGTGCTCCTGCAACGTAACAGACTATGCTCTTAATGGATTATTATATTAATCTTGTAGGAAATTAACTTCTGTAATGCTATACACTTAAAAAAAATAGTTCTGGGGCTAAGACAACCATAACAGGAATTTTAAAAAATCCAGTTGTTGAATGGTAATAATGTATGTCACATTTTTTTTTAGTGGATCATCACTTTCTTTTAATGTAGCATGATTCCTCCTATATGGATCTATCTGGCATAAACAATCAAGTGTTTTCTCTTTGTATTTTAGACAGAGATCACCGAAATTGCCCTTGATCAGAAGGGACTTACAAATGAAAGAAAAATTGTTTTTATTGATAAAAACAGAGATCTTTATATTACTTCTGTGAAGAGATTTGGGAAAGAACAGAAAATTATCAAAATTGGTAAGAACCAAGCCAAAATTACAGTAATCTGCATTCTGGCAGCACACATATTTTGTCTACAACAGGAGTGTTGGAAGCTCTATTATTTGATTAATTTAAAACTTCACTTGAAAGAACACTGAGGAATATGTTGTAGGGTACAATTCTGCTGTGGCTACTTGGGATGAATAAAATGAACTGATGTCATTTCCATTTCTAACTTCTGTGGTATCCAGCCACACTGAATAAACACATTACTTGCGTATTTTTTTATTATGCTCAGAAGTTAAATAGGTAAATTTTTGACATTTAAACTGTCATCACTATATTTCAGAGTGAAGAGCGCAAAGAGAATTATGAGAGAAGCCCATATGTCCCTTAGAGCTGTTGTGTATATATGCTGTCTGCCTGCAGATTCTGAAAGTACTTGATTCAGAAGGTTTTCTTCACAACCTCCAGCACTAGAAACATAATATTATTAAATAAAAAGTGAAGTTCTGGAGAAAGTGATGTGGTCATCCAATAACCGCCCAACCTGTATTCTGGTCACTTATATTCATTTTGAACCTTGCCCTCCAAAATACAGTGTATGAACTGCCTCTGTAGTTTGTTCAGAAACAGTTAAAGAATAGACACTGCTCCCAGACTTGTGAATGTTTCGGTTAACAACAGTTGACAGTTAAGGCAATAAACAAAACTGAGCTATTTTGGCTCCATATATGTTAGAAATGGGAATATAAATGTCAGAAAAAGACAGAATAGGGGAAATTATTTACTATAATTAAAGTTTTTAAGAATAAATTGCAACTCATGCAGGAATAAAAATAAAACTTGCTTTTTTAAAGTAGTTGTTGACCTGTAAGGATAGCAAAATTCCAAGAATGTTTACATTTTTTGTGTTTATTGTGCATGTGCAAATACGTAATATTTGTTTATCTTTAAATTAAGGAACAATGGCACACACTTTGGCTTGGAATGACACATCCAACATACTTTGTGGACTCCAAGATACACGTTTTACAGTCTGGTACTATCCCAATACAGTTTATGTAGATAAAGATCTCCTGCCAAAAACACTGTATGAAAAAGATGCAAGGTAATGTATATTTTTACTCAGAATAATATTGCTGGATTTTTGTAAATACTGTGTTGAATTTTTCACTCAAATAATTCTTTACAAAGAAGGGTGTTAATTTAGCCACTTGAAATAGATGACAGTTGCTACCTTCAGAATTCCTGCTACATCACTATTTCTGGATTAGGAAAGGTTTAACCAAAGGTGTTAGCCATTCAAGGTGTGTACTATAAAGCTTTTTAAAAATGAATAAATGATAACTGTTTGAGGCAGAACACATAAGCACCTGAAAAGGGATGGACTTAAGCATGTGCTTTAAAGTTCCTATGCGCATTGGGGTCATAGTGCTAATTACTGTGGGAATCCCATTGCCTTCTTTTGGACTACTCGCAATAATTCGTGTTTGCAGGATTAGCCCTTAGATCACAAATCAGTAACCAAATACTCTTTTCCAAAAACCTGTCTTTACGTATAGTTCTTTTAACATTCTTGGTTCTCCATAACAGTGCTAAACTTGAGCATCAGCATGGTAAACAAGGCCCTAAATGTCATATATCACTTAATAAAACAGGGCATATGAAGGGTTCTGGAGCATCTAGTCTGCCTCAGATTTTCCCTGACCTCCTGTAAGAGGTATTTAAAATTTTCTAGCTTTGTGCCTTATTCATCAAAAATTGCTTTGTATTGGTGGGTTCTAATAAGTAATCCTTTGCACTTCTTTAGAAACTTCTATTCAAGCTTCTCAAAACGTTTTATAAACAATGATATATTTAACCTTACAACTCCCTATTAATTCTCCCATCTGAAGAGAAAAGTAGCACATATCTTCATTTTACAAATGGGAGAATTGAGACACTGTGGCATTAAGTGATTTGCCATAATGTATCAGTGGCAAAGTCAGAAAAAAAAACCCAGGTCTCTTGACTCCAGGTGCTATGCTCTTACCATTGTATAATGTTCCTTCCCTTTTAATAAATAATTCAATTAGGTTAAAATATTTGTTTTTTTTAAATTACTTCCAATATTTTGATCCAAGTTCATTCTAGATAACAACTGAAAATATTGTAACCACCTTCCCTGCCGGATATCACTGCAAATAGTGTGATACACCAGTCCCCTTTAGATGTTTGGTACAATGAGCTCAAGAGCAAGCACAGTAGGTGCTCCAACCACTAGCCTATAGAAACTCTAGCACTAAGTTGGTTCCTATCAAACACTCACATACATTAGGTAACTGTGGTTCCTTTATTTGACAATTATAAGAAGAATAAACCAACAGTTTCTAATTCAGCCTAATATAAGTGTAATGAGATAAGAGTCTTGCCGGGACCCCTGCACACTGTTGTCCTGATTTTAGACTGCGGCTTTGTGACCTCCTGCAGGTATTGCTGGTCCCTTTCAAGAGAGTATGGCTCTGCCCAGGTCTTAGCCTTCCTGTACAGATCCCAGGATGCTTGCTTCCCAGCCTTCTCTCCTCAGTCAGCTACCAGGCTGTTGTCTCTGGCATATTGCTCTTGCTTTCACTCAGCCTCCAGATTTCTTGATTCTAGTCCTCTCTGAGCTCTGGTTGTATTTCTTTCCTGTGCTGGAGGGATTATGGAACCCTTTACAGGCTGGATTTTGAATTGGGTAACGCATTACTGAGCTAGTAGATTTGTTACAATATATTTGGCCCAGAACTAATTTAAAAGACAAATTACTTTTTTTCTAGGGTGTAATCACATAAATACAAAAGCTCAAATCTTAATCAGACTTTTCTTTAAAAACATTTTGCCTTTATGTTTTAAAAAATATAGTAGTTAATTGATATGTTACAGCATTTCTGTGTTGTCAGTGAAAAATATCAAACTATTTATTTATTTTTCTCTGAAACATTCATAGTTATCTAAGTATAACTTTCGGATTTCAAGTCATTTTCTGCAGTCTCTGGGAATAGCTCTACAAAATAATAAAAAAACAATTCACTAAGAAGCACAGTTCACTGTTTTCCTCTTCTTACAATAATCCTTGATATTAAATCATTCTCACTCTCCCCAAGGTGCTTTTTATTTCATAGTTAAACTTCAAGACTCAGTACAGCCCAGAGCTTTTTATCCACATTTGTATGTGCAATTTCAACAGTTAAATGTGCAAATTGGGCATTTTTGCAAATACCCAAATTGTATTTCCACTTGCAGTGGTTGCACATGACAGTGTACATGTACAATTTTGCATCCAAATACTATATTCCAACTTTTAAAAATCTGACCAAAAGTTGTTTTAGATTTAAACTCCATTGCACATATCTATTTAGTTGAATTTACAATAACTATTTAGATGTTTCTGTTCTGTTTGAAAACAAAGTTAAGAAAAATGTATCAATAACTCTTATCTAATTTGAAAATCACTAATAGCTTTAAACTCCAACCATTATTTTCAATGAGAAAAAAAAATTAACGTGTTTTACTTGACTTTCTTTCAACAGCGAATTTAGCAAAAATCCCCATATAGTACGTTTTGTGGGAAATCAAGTAACGATCAGAAGAGCTGATGGCTCACTTATTCATCTCAATATATCACCTTATCCAGCTATTCTTCATGAGTATGTTAGCAGTTCAAAATGGGAAGATGCAGTCAGATTGTGTCGCTTTGTTAAGGTAATTTTTAATACTCTACAGTATTCTCATAAATTACATTTGTTGCCTTTGTTTATATTTTCAAACAATATGTAGTAATAGTAATTATATATGTAAATGTTCTAACCTATTTTCTTTCTTCAAGCTGTTTCTTTACCTTATAGAGGTTTCTTATTATTTTAGGGCTGATCCAGAAAACACTTACACATGTGATTAATTTTACTGATGCAAATAGTCCAAATGATTTCAGTGGGACTATTCACAAAAGTGGAGCTAGTAATGAGCATAAATGTTGTCTGGACTAGACTCTTACATAGCCAATTTTGTAAAAATGTTCTGTTCCACATCTAGTTACCTACAATCTTTTTTAAAAAACATTTCTTCCCTTTCATTTTCTTTTTCCTCACTTTCTTTCTGATAATTTAGACAACAACAGCAGGTGAGGTGAGTGTAGTAGTATACTTTTTTTAAAAGGCATTTTTCCTCCCCCCATTAACACTTATAAAGGAATTTTATCTTCTTATATATGGTTATCATGATTTATAAACAAAACTGTATCTTAAAAATGTTTTCTCTATTTTCTATATTATTTGAATTGAGTGGTCAATATACATATTGAGCTAATTTGGGATATATTGTGATGTTTATATTGAGTTGTTTCCCTTATCTGAAGGTGGATACAAATGTTTTTATTCCAGTATTTGGCAGTTGAGAATTGGCATTTATAATTTCAAATGTAGCACTGACAGAAATTACACTGTGTAATTTCAGTGCACCACTTCTTAAGAGCCTGTGACTCTTATTTGCATCTTTTTGTAATTTTTTTAAAATACCGGGAAAGCACACACGCACTTATACCATCTATATTGAGTGGTAATACTGTATGTATAATATCCTTTCCACAGAAGTATAGTTATAGCTTCCAAGTCAGGGAGGTTTTTGGCATTTATAACTTTTCATGATTGCTTACTATTTTCAAGGATGGATTGCATTCAATGATTTTAGGGTACTTAAAAGATAAATTGGTTAAAAGTTGCAAAGATCTTTCCTTCCTACCTTTTCTGGCTACCATCCCCTTTCACCTTCCTACTCCCTTTCATCAATCTTTCCTCAGCTGCCCTTACCTGCCTACAGATAAGCAAGACAAGGTGGATAAGGTAATATTGTTTATTGGTGAAAGAGACAAGCTTTGGAGCTTACACAGCTTGAAGAAGAGCTCTGTGTAAGCTCAAAAACTCTTCTCTTTCACCAACAGAAGTTGGTCCAATAAAAGATATTACCTCACCTACCTTGTGTCTCTAACATCCTGGGACCACACAGCTACAACAACACTACATACTAGAGATGAGCATGGTTTTTCTACTAAGAATGGCTGTAAAATAGGGGTTTTTTGTTTACATTGTGTTTCGAAACTTGAATTGAGGGAGGATCTGGGTTTTTTTGACAACCAATGTGATCAAAAATACCTCACAGTTCTTCTTCGATTGTTTGCTCATGTCCATTCCAGTGTAGGTGTGCATGTGCTGCATGCACCAGTGCCAAAAGTTTTTCCCCTAATGGTATTCAGGGGGTCAACTCTGGTGCCCCCTGGAATGGCGCCCTCATGACGCAGCACATACACACCTGCCAACCTGTCACCCCCTCAGTTCCTTCTTACTAGGGATGTAAAATACTAAACGGTTAAATGGTTATCTGGTAAGCATTAGTCTTACCAGTTAACTGACCCTAACTGTTAAACCCCAGCCCTGGGGCCACCTGGAGCAGCCCCAGGGCTGGCCGGAGCAGCCCCAGGTACAGCAGCCCCAGCCCCTCTCCCTTTAATTGGCAAATTAAATAACATAATTTTAATTGTTTAAATGGTTAACTTTTTAAACAGATATTTACATCCGTACTTCTTATCACCTGTGATGGTTGCTGGAACGCTGTTTGTCTCTTGCTTTGCAAGTGATACTCCTTAGTGGATCTTTATCCTGTAAATAGATTGTAAATCATTAGAATTAGAATAAGTTAGCAAGTAGTTAGATAACTTAGAGTAGTTAGTAAGATCCTGCCCTGAGGGGCTATCCCACCCAGGAATCTGTGACATGCCTTGGTCCCAGGGCTTCAAACAGTGTGCGGCATGCCACAAACCCATACTGGTAAGTGACCCGCACGACAGCTGTCTAAAGTGCTTGGGCAAGGGCCACATTCAGGAACGGTGCCAGATTTGTAAGAACTTTAAGCCCAGGACAAAAAAGGAGAGAGATAACAGAGTCAAATGCCTTCTCATAGAGGCAGCACTTCACCAGTCATCGGAGTGGCAGCCTGAATCGGCACCGAGTACCTTGTCGGTCAGGAGTGCCCCAGTCTCCTTAAGAGAGGCACAGCATGATTCGAGATCCGCGACACCGATGAAAGACACTACCACCTGGTACCGACACACCTTCCGGCTAGCAAGAAGTCAGCACCAGCCACGCGGCACCACTCCCCATCACTGGTGCGGAAAAAGAAACCGAAGAAGTCAGACCGGGTACCCTCTCCGCAAAGACAAAGGCCACAGAGAGAATGAGACTGATGCCGGGCCACTCTCAGACATCCATAGAACAATCAGCACCAGTGACTCTGGCCCTGGGATGAGGTCTGTTGAGCCAATTTCCCATGGACTACCTACCTAGGTAAAGCCACAGAGGGGATACATTCACCAGAGCCATGTGAGGCAGTGAGGAGCCTCCATGCCCTTCCAGTGCTGCCATCTCCCCCAAGTCATCGGCTCTTAGGGACAGCTCTGGCATCACATGACCTCTCAGCACGGAGGCAGGTGCCAGTTCTGAGCAAGTCAGCAATAAGGGTGTGGCATCCTCATGGCAGAACTTGACGCCACTGGACCGCTCGCCACAGCAGCACCATTCACCACTGCGGCACCAATGAGCACCGCGCTGCCATGGTACCCAGGAGTGGGTCCTCTGGCTCTGGTTCGGAGGCTGACTCATACGCCTCCCGGAGGACAAGGCACCGAGCTGACCATAGGCATTCTGCAGCTGTAGCATAAGGGCTAGTTCCATCAGCATAGCCACCAGCTCAATGGCAAATATCACTCCAGTGGCTGATGTGGAACCTGTGGGCGGTCCAACCATTCCAAGGTTCCCACACAGGATGGTCCCACTCGGTGCCGTCAGAGGTGAGAGCCCCCCCACCTTCCTCCTCGGAAAGGGGTTTGATCCCAGGAGCTGAGATTGCCGATGTGCAGGATATCCCCTCAGGAGACCCACCGGCAACAGAAGGCATACAAGGTGCAGTGCCAGTGAAAGCCTCATCATCTTCCTCCCCAGATGAGGCAGTGGCAGGAATGGCCATCGCACCCATGCAAGATGACTATAAGGCTCACCAAGAGCTTTTGTGTTGTGTGGCTCAAAACCTGGGCGTACAGGTTGAAGAGATCACAGAATCAGTTCCTGCGCTGGTGGACATTCTACCACCCTCGGGGCTGGCAAGAGTGGCCCGGCCCTTCAATGAGGCCCTCTTGCAGCCCATAAGAGTTCTGTGGCAAATCTCTGCATCCTTCCAGCCCACAGCAAAGCAGGTGGAAAGTAAATACTTTGTACCCCCCAAGGGGTATGAGTATCTCTACACCCATCCCCCACCAGATCCTAGTCATTGTAGCTGCTTACAAGTGAGAGAGACAGGCAAAAAGAGCCATCACCCAAGGCAAAAGAGGCCAGGAAACTGGATTTATTAGGCAGGAAGGTGTACTCTACAAGGGGCCTCCAGATGAGAATATCAAACCATCAGGTACTCCTAGGTCACTATGATTTTAATTCCTGGTCAGCCATGATGAAATTTAAGGAACTCCTACCGTCAGGGTCCAGAACTGAATTCATGGCCCTTGTAGAGGAGGGTAAGGCAGTGGCCAAAGCATCCTTCCAGGTAGTCTTAGATGCAGCGGCTGCAGCTGCCCAAGCCATGGACACAGCAGTAGTCATGAGGCAGAGCTCTTGGTTTCAGTCCTCTGGACTACTTCACAAGGTCCAGCAAACTATCCAGGACCTACTATTCGAGGGGAATTCCCTTTTCTTAGGCCAAGGTTTATGTTTGTTTTTTAAGGTAATAAAGGACAAGTGTAGGAAGGATGTTAGGCCCTGATCATGCAAACTTTTAGAGTAGCAGCCATGTTAGTCTGTATCCGCAAAAAGAAGAACAGGAGTACTTGTGGCACCTTAGAGACTAACAAATTTATTAGAGCATAAGCTTTCGTGGACTACAGCCCACTTCTTCGGATGCATATAGAATGGAACGTTCCATTCTATATGCATCCGAAGAAGTGGGCTGTAGT